TTGTTAGCTACACAGTCTGTGGCATGCCACATGTGGCATGCGTTACATTTACTTGTAAAGTTGTTCTTTTGCCTCAAGCAACAACAACATCATATTTACTAGTTGCCATGGCGTATGAAATGAAAAATTCTGATTGGAATTTACATCGCCGAATAAATTAGAGAGAAATTTTGTATATAATTTGCTTGGTATAGCTTGTGCAGGGGTTGCTATCAGATTGCGTAGATGATAGTTTTTCTTTATTTATCTCCGAAGGCGAAACTATTCTTAAGTTGAATATCCTTTTCTTTGTTTATTTTTTCCACCCGTACTTTAAGTTTGTCTTTATTTCTATGGCGTAAAATGTAAAACGTTAAGTTCATTTGTTTATTTGAGCGAAAAACCTGCCTTTTTGGCCATTTTTAACCATTGACGAAGCTGTGAACGAAAACTGCCAACATTTGCCACTTCAACTGGCACTGGCGTGTCATTGTTCCGCACGTAGTACGCCACCAAAATGCGGAGACACAAAAACTTTTTCAATTATCGCGTTTGTTGTCATTTCTTTCGCCGTTTTTGCTAAAGGCGACTTGCGGTCATTAAGTATGCGGAAAGTATGCCGAAATGTTGAAAATTGACTTAACAGAAAGGAAAATATAATAATTGACAGTGCTTGGAAATAATGTGAAAATGATAAACTTATTAGCCAAATAAAATAAAATATAGCTCAGCAAAAAGTAGCGTGTATGAAATGTAAACATGTGTATGTATTTGTATTTATTTGTAAAGGTTGGAAAAGTGCTCAAAGCTGCTTTTGAAATGATGTGTGGAGTTAAGTGATACATTCGTTAATTTATTGGTTAATTTTGGTACAGTAATTCGCGTGAACGTTTTAATTAAAGTGCCGAACTGCAAAAAAGAGCAACTTCGCATTCTTTAAAGTGCAAATTGTTGGTTCTGAAACAGGCTACACTTAATGGAATTAAGCTCAAGCTGTCATAAAACAAAGCATGAAATTGGATTTATCCACACTTTAGCAGCAAAATAGAATTACATGTATAGCCATTGTTATGTACTTTACAACTCTTCTACAAGAACTCGTTTTAAATTGGATTCACTACTCGGGGAAAAACTATGCCATCCTTCATTTGAGCCATTACCCTGCAGGGAAAGCTAATAGTTGTGAACTAGAATGCTGCCCGTTTGCGTTTCAGCCCGAATAGTTCGCGTTCCATCCTTTTTCAATGTTAGCAACTGGTATTCTCAATATTACGGTAATCTATGAGATGTCATCAGCTATGCATCAGCACCTACCAGTAGAAATACTAGTAGAATCATAGCGGTAGACGGCATACATATTTAGTATTCCAAAAGTCGCAATGAACGACAAAGCAAATTTGTTTCTGTTTTAATGCATTTTTTAATGCAATTTTTAAATTCTACTTTTTTAAAAAGAAATATTTTTCTTTTTTTATTTAATTTCATTTTTATGGTACAAGTATTTATCTCTTAAATGAAATTAGATTTTGAAATTTGTAATTTACATTTAAATTGAAATAATTATATTAACTTACATTCATTTAATTAAACAATTGTTAGCCATATCCACACACAGCTGGCATTTGTAAGAAAAGCTATTAATTGCATTTCATATTTCATATTCATATTTCAAATGTGGCATGTGTCGCTGAACGCTTAAGTTATTCGAAATGGACAAACTGGTAGGCCATCCCTTTAGCTCATAACAGTTAATGAACTGGTATTTTTACTGACTGGTTTGGATTTTCACCCCGGGGTAGTAAACACTCTGCATTCCTGTGTATGGCTATGTAGTATGTATGTATGTATGTATGCATACAATGTGCATATCCACTGGGAAGATAAGTAAGCACCTTACGAGGTAGTCCATGCTTTCTTTCGGCTTTTAGTACCACAATTGTCATCATGACCAATGTCATCTATCAGTACAGTACAAAATTAACACGATGTAGCCATACGTAGTAAGTTGCAAAATAATGTGCCGCCGAACTACTCCGAACGACTGCTCTACATTCTATGTACATTACTTGGTAAAGCGGCTGAGAAGTACGTCTAAATTCCTAGTAAGGCAGATTCGGCAGGGAAGTAGTAAGGACCGCCGGATGAAGTGTAAGTTGCTGGAAAATCATTATTACGTGCACCTATTTCCTAAGGGGTAGTAGAATACATAACTGAGTATCAAACCACTGATTTACATAGCCCCATTGTGTCTCCTCATACGCCTCGCACTCTACATGCATACTATGTAAATATGACTTTATGGCTTTGAGTTTCACTTGTGTACAATGTGTGCGTGCGAGCAATAAGTCCTCACATTCATTCGTTGGTCTACTAAGCAAAGAAGTCGCACAAGACGTCAGCGTAGTAGACAAACTTGCTGCCTGAGTAGTCAGATAAGCTGACAATCAAGAACGAAACTAAACGAACGCGTTGGCAAAGGAGGATGGATGGTGTGTGGAATAGAGTCTGAGTGAGTGAGTGAGTGCATGCCTGCCAGGCAACCGATAATCGGGCCACTTAAACCCCTCGAAAATATCAAACTCCAAAATGTTTGCGTGCTGGATAGTAGGCATTCTGTAAAGGCCGTAACTGATTCATCTGTTGTGGTTGTGGCCGCTGTGACCACATTCCACGGGCTGTTTACATAGCTGGTCGACGGTACGAGCAGTTAATTGAAATATACGAGTCGTTTAAATGTCGTTGCAATATTGTTTCGACAAATTTGCAGTCGCTTACACGGAAAAAGACTGAAAGCTAGGTTGGCAAACACTAAATACCGCGAATCAGTGATATGCGTACATTGAATTTCGCTATTTTATTATGAGAACGAATGGGATATTATAAAGCCTACAGTTGGCAAAAAATGTGAGCCAAATTTTTAAATGTGATGGATTGGCAAAATTTGGGCAAAATTTTTAAATGTGATGGAATTTTGATAAATTTTTAACCGACTTCACAGAAAGGAGAAAGGTTATCAATTCGGAAGAATATATGTACAGTATCGGCCATATCTATAGCACGCCATTTCAAAGTGATATTATGTTATTCATAGCCACTTGAAATTTGCACTTTATCGGCCTAAAATTGCAGGGGCTAAAAAACTGTGTACTCAAAAAAAAAAAAAACTCTAACACTTGCGAGAAAAAATTTTGAAATGCAACTGAAAATTTGTTGCATTTTTTTGTAGTTTTCTACAAATTGTTAAACTTGGGTATATAGGAGAATGGCTCCTTTTTTAAGTCGGACGGATTTCGTAAAAAAATTATGTCATGTCTCCGATTCGCTCAAATTTTTTTGTGGCTTCTATACATGCAATAAGCTAACACGTGTTCGAGGAATTTTTTTCTTCTCTTTTTTTTTTGGAGATATGATCAGTCAAAGTTTGCATTTTTTCGCGATTCTGACTAATCATGTACTTCTTCAAATCGTTATATCTCGGGTTCTGCTCATCGTAGAGACTTCATCTTAACGTCGTTTTTTTAAGCTAAATAAACGGGCTTAACATTTCTATATATAAGATGGTAAAGATTGTCCTAAACCTAACTTAGCTATTAACAGTTGAAATTTTTGTAGTTGATTTGCATAGTGAAGACCAGTAAATTTTGCATTTAAAATTATACCATCGTAATCCTTGTTTAATCCGCTATAAAAAATGCGGCTCCAAAAAATGGGCGTTTTTCAAGAACTATTTTTTAAATATTTGTTTTATTTTTTATGACGAGCTGGTTTATTTTGTGAGAATCAACAATTTTTTTGTAATTTGTTTTCGAAAACTCATGTCGAGATATATTTAGTAAGGTGTTAAACATCGGGTTTTTGCAAAATTAAAATTTTATTGCGGATTACATTAGAATACCTATACAGATATAATATTTATATGGCACATTTTTTTTATTAAGGCGACAAACCCCTAGAAATGGGCGTGGAAATTGGAGGACTAAAGTTAGCAAAATGCAGATTTTATTGCGGATTTCGGCAGAATATCGCTTCGTTAACAATATTTGTTCAACAACTTTTTCAATTCATATAGATATGCTGGCGAAATCCATATTAAAGTCTAAATTTTTGAACTTTGGTTTTAATATAGCCACGCCCATTTCTAGAATATTCTTATTTAAAAAAGCAATAAAAAAAAAAAACAGCTCACTAGAGCGAAAAGAATAGCAAAAGAACAGCAATGCAAATTAGTGATGGCAGGTCATAGAATGAAAAATTTAAATGCATTTATGTAACATGTGCATTGGGAAGCGAGCAGAGGTTGGCTCAACGCATTAGCGAGGCAAACAACCGGCTGATTGTGAGCTCAAAATAAACATTATCATAAAATGCGCTTAAATAACATGTAATTAATTGTGTGTTCTTTTTTTTTTTGTGCGCTTTGTGGTGCTGCAGTGAGACGCATTGTTGAATCGTGGTTTGCTTCGAGGCGGGGCTGGCTGGATTGTTTATCCACTAACATAAATACTATTTGCGTGTGTGTTGTTAACTAGCTGTATATGCATTTGAAAAGTAAATAAACAAGCAAGGGGTGAGGGAAGATATCCGGCTTTGTATCAGAAATTTATACATTCAAAGTGTATGTATGTATGTATGTACATACATAAATTGGAATCATTCTTCTTTTTTTTACTGGTCTGCTGCCTCTGAAGCGCGGGCTTGCCTTTTTGTCGTTTTGTGCTTTTGCAATATCGCGGAAATATGTGACCTGGATTTTTTACATGAGTTGGTTTGTTTTTTTTTTGTCACAGTTTTTGTACATAAGTACGTTACATTCAAATGTCAAAATTTCCAACATAATTTATCTTTAAATATTTGCGCTTAAGCTTAATGAGGTGAACTACGAATTGCCACGTCGAAAACATGCATAAACATGAATAGCGCTTTAAAAGTTTACAGTTCATTTAATTCAAATTTTAATCGTTATCGCATGTCCAACGGCTTAAAAATTAAATGAATTAATAAATTTATGATATTGCGAATACATTCGAGTTATTGTGGGAAGACATTGGTGTAGTTGCCACTTTATTCCAACCGCTGTTATTCTTTGATGTCCACATTGTTGTTCCAATTCTGCAGCTACTTAATCTGTTGAAGCCAGGATTGTGTGATTTAATTAGTAAAATTCTCAATCCAAAATTTAAATAGATTTCTGAATTGAAAGTTTAATCAAATCCTAAATAATATAAATTTGCTAGTGAACTCACAAAGCGTCAAAATGCCAGAATTTAATTTAACTTTTTAAACAGGTGGCAAACTAAAAAATATTCCAAATGTTAGTCAGAGCTATCAGCGTTGCGTGTGCCAAATTTCATCTCAATCCGCCCAGCATGGTGTGGGTTTTTCATTTCATCAGATTTTAAATCACCCTTAACCGCTAAAAAGTTCTTAGTTCACCTCTTTAATCTGACACATAATTTTTGAATTTCGAAAGAACGGTTCAGGCTTGATGACCTTCAGAAAAGTGCAGTCGCGTATCATATCTAATGGTATACATACAGTATTGGCCAATGCAATAGCACCTCCATTTCAAAGTGATATTGTTTGCCACTCATGTTTATTTATTTATTTTTAAGAATTTTCAATTAAAATACAGTTCATTCTCTCACAAAACTCACATAAACTCAAGTTTAAAACTTTTTAAAAGACCGCAAAAAAGTGCAACAAATTTAACCCAAATTTCAAACTTTTTTCTCAGAAACGGTAGAATTTTTTTGAATACACAGTTTTATAGCCCATTCAATTTTAGTCTAATAATGTGCAAATTTCAAGTGGCTAAAAATTACCGTTGATTTTTTAGAATTTTTTTCGCCGAGGATGTTGCGGGTTTCTGCCATATAAAAATAAATTGTGTTTAATCGTTATATGGAAGCAAATGAGACAAAAAAAATTCTAAAAAATCAACAGAGCTTCTGAGAAAAAAGTTTGAAATTTAAGGGAATGTTTGTTGCACTTTTTTGCGGTCTTTTAAAAAGTTTAAAACATTGGTTTATATGGGTTTTGTTAGAGAATGAACTGTATTTTAATTGAAAATTCTTAAAAACATTTAATTAAACATAAGTGGCAAACAATATCGCTTTGAAAGGGGGGTGCTATAGATATGTCCAATACTGTATGTATGTATGACGTTTCGAATTGGCGACCCCCTAATCAAAAATATGTTTAAACAAAATCTATTTACCACTCTTTCGTTTGGCACTCAATGTTTAATATTTCATATAACTAAATTCGAGTTTTCAAAAAGGTGGCAACCCTTTTCAAAAGTATTTTCAAGCTAAAATCTTCTTAAATCTCTACATTTTAGTATTATGAGGCATATTTCAATTAACCGACGAATCAAGTTGATTTTGATTTTCTAGACACGTGGAAACTCTCCTAGATACAGCTTAAAGAAAAAGGATTTTCCAACCCATTTTGATTGATACCCATGAAACTTATAAGTAAATAATTTGAACAGGTGGCAACCCTCTTCGAACACCTCAAAAATTGTCTAAGTGTCCAAACTAAAGATTTTTTAACACTCTTTTGTGGCACCCTATACACAAAATTCTACAGTTGGTAACGCAAAATATATAAATACTTAAGCAAAGAATAAAAATAGGCTATAAATACAGTCTTGCCATTTATTGAAAAGTTTCTGTGTTCCACTAACATTACTGTTGGTGTTTTTTTTTCACCATCAATTTTAGTGAAGAAAAACATATTTCACTAGACTGGAAATATGTGTTTTTTTTCACTATTCGATTGTTAATTTTAGTGCAACATTTTCTTATTTCACTATCATTATTGTATAGTGAAGCTGATATATTGCAATTCACCACTAAACATAAAGAGTAGTAGTGAAAAATTTGGCACTATCACTAGCTACTAGTGTAAACTAAAAAATTTAGTGCACCACCCCCAAAATAGTAACGTTTTCGATTATGTTGGCAGTGGATTTTCTGACGTTGTCTGTGGGGATATGTGAAACTTCATACATATGTATGTGTACATAAGTTTAAGTACTATGTGGATAAAAGCCAACACGAATTTATAAACTTTAACTGATTTACAATTAAATAGCGTTGCTAAGAGAGTAGTAACACACACACACCAATATCTACACACACTGACGAGTGTACACAAAAGCTCAGCAAGTATGAGACCTTAATGAGACCGCACTATGCTGGTGAATATGGTAAGAGGTAATGACATACTAAGTACATACTACATACATACCATATATCTCAGGTGGCATTTAAGCTTACAAACACTGGCCGGGCTAAAAATTTCAACTGACAGACACGCATGACATCTCTTGCCTTGCACGTTCTTTGATACCTCTGTTGGTGTGCCCTCTTCAGTGTATACTTAAGTGAAATTGTTGGGTTTCATTTTATTTTTGAGGTAATTTCATTTTTTTTGCAGAATATTTACGAGCTTACGGCGTAGTTGCTTGTGCGTTTGTGTGTGCCATGCGAAGAAAACTTATTTGTTGTTGACGACATAATAACTTTGATAATGAATTTGTTACTACGCTTTGAGACATACTACACCGATTTTACGGTGGTTCAATTTAGATGCTAATTAGTTGCAATTAAATTTATTAGAGCATAAAACCACAGAAGTTTTTTAAATCTTACATTAAAACAGCAAACATGTTTTATTAAAATAGCATTTTTAAGCTTCAAGAGCCATAGACAAGTGAGCGAAGCGTACATATCAAGTAATTGCATAAAGAAACGCAGTACGGTTTCTTTAGTCTATCTACTTAGCTTGCATAGCTTCCTGCTTTGTTTGATATACAAATAATTTTTACATTGCACAGTGGTTCCAATTTCACTCAAAAATTCCTTGCCACTTTTTGAAATCGGAAAATAACCACGGTCATCACTTGTGCAACGGTATTTTCGAAAGATGCAATGACGATAAATTACTATGTAATTATTAGAGCTCGGATATTTATGCAAGTAATTATTTTTGTTTAACATCACAGAAAGTCCGGATCAGGGTAGAAACTCACTATAGGAGGAAGTGAGTTAATTTGGACCTATTATGTTTTGCATATTTTCACATATTTTCACTCCGCACGCGACATATGATCTCCTTCTGCCTGCATAGTGATGCACAGCTACGCCAGCATAGAACAAATCTAATTTATTTGTGCAATGTAGGCAAGTGCAAACGATGCTGTAAAAATCTTTTGCAAGTTCGCCAACTAAAGCGCAACACCTTCTTTAAGTACAATAAGTAGGATGCCATCCGGTTCGGGCCATTTGAGACAGTCAAAAGACCAATGGCATATCTTAGGGCATCTTCATTAGCCATATTGCTGGCAACAAACCAGTTGTACCTTGACACTGTGGTTCTCGCATACCCTCCCTCACCAGTCGAGGGAGAGGAAGGCGAAACCATCACCTGATTTCCACGAAATTGAGCCTCTAGAAGAACAGAGAGTTCTCCGTCAAAAAGCCATCAGGACTCTTGAGTGAACGCAGCTTTGTGGTTTGGTCTTTCTTCAGAACTTTTACCAACCTAGCTGTTTGACTCAAGGTTTCAATCCCGCTGCAGCCCTCTTCGCAGAGCGAATTATACTACGTTCCCACGGCACGTAATTCGCTCTCCCATTCGTAATTTTATCTCTCATTCGTAATTGGTACTGTAAACAGTGAAGTCTGTTCCCCTTGTAAGCGGTATTCTTTGCTCCACAGCTTTGAGCCAATCCCAGTTAGCTTGGGAGAGGCATTTCACCACAATGGTTCCATCCATCTCTTATGAACGAGCATTGGCTACATTGCCGGAGGCAATGACGACCCGGATCAGCGTTTAATTTCCGCAGTAAACATCTGCCGAGTCTAACCCGCCCTCCCAATTACGGCAATGAGCACAAAGGCCTTTTACGGACTCACAATAAGTTGCCCGGGACCCAGACCTCCAGACGTAGTTGCTTCGAGGAAATAGCGAGGACAGTTCTGCCTCGACCGATCCTTGCATCACTTCTGCCACACCAGTACCGTGCCACACTATGACTCGAAGAGGCATTGGGACAGCAATTGGTGTAAGTCACCACAGGTTACCTTCTCTTGCAACGTTCGCAAGTAGATTTGGATGTCGGTACATCCATCAAGTTCCACTGGCTTCTGGAGTGACATCCGCAGACCTGGGCCGCTTACTGAATTCAGCGACAGGAGGAGTTCGGTCAGCCACAGAAGAGGGTTTCCCCTGCTTGCTTTTTCTGGGCTGTGGAAAGCGGAGGAACTCCGTCATTGGAGGGTAGTTGGCAGCGAACTGCTCCTCCACCTACAGAGAGGATTGGCTTATTCTCCCTACTCTCCTCCAGGATGCACTCCTGGTCTATGACGTTGGGGACTTCGGCAACAGTTAGGGCCGCAAATGCGGATGATTTCCCATAGATATTACTAAAGTAGTTTAAAGAGTTAACCTAAATACAAGTTGTTAATAAATTTGAAGATATGCTTTTAGCAAAACTTTCTTCATTTTCTCTGAAATCTGAATAACATAGACACTAGTGCAAACGACTTCGGTCCTGTTTCTTAGGTGTTATTTAAATTGTTGCATAAAAAACTTTTTTAGCATATCTAACTATTTATTTTTTTACAATTTTTTGATATATTTTGCATAGTTCATTTTGCATATATTTTGCATATTCAATTTGCACAAAAATCCGAGCTCTAGTAATTATGCTATATTTCTCAAATTTGTATTTAGTGAAATATTTCAGCAAAAAATTTTGTTTTTTATTCAATTAATTATAATAAAATTAATTAAGTAAAAACAGCGAAATAAAGATTCATAATTTAATACAGTTCTTGAAAACAACTAAGAATGCCCAAAGTTATCGACTCGTCCTAAATCCCTACGTAATTTGACAAAAATATAGAAATACAAATACAGTAAGTCTCAGAACACAAAAGTAGCTGATTTAATAAGCCTGTGTATTTCGTGAAGTTCCGTTTAGTAATGCAGAAATTGAGTCTGTAATAACTTAGGAGGCTAAAAAGCAGCTCCAGGTCGACGGGATATTTCACACGGCTAAAAAATCGCATTGATTTTTGAAAAT